TGAAAAAAATTGTTTTTCCTCATATTTCGATAGAAAGACGCGCTAGATGTAAGACTTTCAAAATGTATATCCTTTTAAGAAAATTCCCAATAGTTCTTTGATAATCTGTTATCACAATTTTGGTCTTCATCGATTTTACTGGTTTTTGTTTGCAGTTATATTGTGTACAAAGAATAGCTTTAAAAATGAGAGTCTTCAAACAAAATCCCACCATCTGAAAGGCCATGACGTCTTCTTTTAAAATTAACACCACATTTTGGATCGTTTTTACTATTTTTCTATTAATTTTTTGTCAAAAAAGCACTTTTTCTATAAATTGAGCTTTTTGGTGTAAATTGAAAGCTTTACGTCTGGTGCAAACCCAACACGGCGCATAAACCGGTCAACAACGTCCCAACTGTCGAGCATGGTAGTGGCAGCATTATGTTATGGGGATGCTTCTCATCAGCAGACTGAGAAATCTTCAGGATTGAGGGGAAGATGAATGGTGCAAAGTACAGGCGAATCCTAGAGGAAAACCTGCTTGAGTCAGCGAAGAATCTAAAACTGGGTCGAAATTTCACATTTCAGCGGGACAATATCCAAAGCACTAGGCCAAAGCCACACTGGAGTGGTTTCAAAAGAAGAAAGTGGATGTCCTGGAGTGGTACAGTCAAAGTTCTGACTTGAATCCAGTAGAAAAGTTGTGGCGAGACTTGAATATTCTAGTCCGTCAATGATCCACAACGAACTTTTCAGAATTGGAGCAATTTTAGCAGGAAGAATAGGCAAGAATTACACCATCCCATTGTGCAAAGCTGGTAGAGATCTATCCAAAAAAAAAGATTCACAAGCTTCCCAACGTGTTTCCACCATGTACTGACTTAGGGAGCTGAATACTTATGCAATCTAGCAAATTTCAATTTATACATTTTCTATGCAGGTTTTGTTGACATTTAACCTCCTTCACACATAACAGTGTTAAATTTAATCATTGGAGTTTTTAACAGAAACAAGTTCATTAACAAAATGTTTACATTATTTGTATTTCATCAAAATGTGACATAATTATAGTGGGTGAATACTTTTGTAAGGCACTGTAGATTTGCTGTCTTTTGGTCATTAGTTAAGATTAGGGATAGCTACACCCAAGTCATTAAGGGGTCTCTGACCTGGTCGTATAGTCCATGTATGTATAAGATGCCGTTCAGGCTGAACATTTCAATTCCTTTGTTAATAACACATGTATTCTCTTTTAAGATAGAAAACTATATATATATATACAAAAATATGAATAAAAGGAGTATAAGTGGCAGGTAATATGGGAGCGTTCCCCTTTATCATGAAAAAATTAACTACACCACAGTACAGTCACCTGTTCACAGTTTACATTATGATTGGTTGACATCCAATTAATGTCAAGAATTGTGGTAAGACTCGATGTTTCGCTATTAACTGTATGCAAGACTCTGAACATGGTACATGAACAATGGTACATGAACAATGGTACTGTCAATAACAGAAGTGGTCGAGGTAGAAAACCAAAAATGGAAAGTACCTAAAGATATGTTCTTATGAGGGAGACAATGTTCGATTAACTCTCTGGACAACGATATGGAGGTAAGTACAGAAATGAATGCTACTTCGATATCATTAAGACGTGCAGTAGCATGGAGTGGTTTCAATGAACTCGTAGCTGCTCGAAAACTACTGCTTAGAAGAGGCAATCAAGCCGAAATTTGTAAACGCAGTCGGACCACAAATAGTAAAATGAGCAAAGCTGAAAAAGTGTGCTCTTTACAGATGAGTCAAAGTTGGAACTGTTCGGCAACAATACACAACAATTTTTTTTTAATAATGGAGAGGAGAACGACATTACCATTAATATAAAGCATCTACATTGAAGCTTGGTTTGGGCTGCATCTTGGACAATGATGTCAGTCATCTACACAAAACTGATGGCACAAGCAGATTCCGATCCATAATGCTATTCACTCAGCAACACGACTCATCACGTAGGGGTAAATATTAGATGAAGACAATTATTTCAAAACCATAGTTAGCTTACACAGAGTTCTTATATGAACATTCTTGAGGTTGTATAGGCTTATGTTAAAACAGAGAAGATCAAAAGGTGACCAAACAATGTAGATTAATGTGTGGAACAATAAAGAACATTTCGAATAATATTCTATAGTCGTATATTAGCAAACTGTTTGGCAGCACGAAAAGAAGTGTAATAATATTGTATGTAAAACAAAGGGCTTACATGTAAATAGTATGGCATTCTACAATTTATTAACTTTTGTATTTGCTGTGATACTGCTTTGTACTATTAATAAATTCACTATCTTGTTGTTCGTGACTCTTGTTTGTGTATCACTTGTGTGTTTCTATAATTATTTTTATTAGTATATATAAATATATATATATACACCTGGAAAAAAGTTAAGCACCCCCGTGTTTTTTTCAAGTAATTCAGATTCGACGTTCTTGTGATTATAAATTACCATTCAATCTAAACGTGTTTATCAAATGAAAT